CCTCATTTATTTGTTGGTTTTTCTGGAAGGAATTAAAAAGTAGGAATATTCTACATACTAGAACATCTCTCCGGCGTGCTTATAGTTCAGCGATGTGTTCTGCCCCGGCTAGTGGGAAATAGCAGTGAGTCAGGCGCTGTGAAACTTTAGCAACTGGGAAGCCCATTCTGCCTTTGCTGAGACCTTACATCCTCTTGTTACAGGAACACGACATAGAAACAGCTCATGGTGTGGTCCACGTCACTATAAGAGGCCTACCGAAAGGAAACAGACCAGTTATTCTGACGTACCATGACATTGGCCTCAATCGTACGTATTTGATTTTATACCTTTCCTTTTTATTATAATACTTAATCTTTGTATAGTAAAAAAAAAAAACACATACATAAGAGATTCTAGTATTCTAATTGAACATAAGTTTTTCTCCTCTCTGCCTTACTTCCCTCTTCATTGCTACTTACGTTAACGGCAGGATTAAAGTTCCTGGGAAGAGCGCAGAGAATGCGTTTGGGGGATTACTGGAATTATACCTCACCTGTGTGTCGTATCTGCTAAAGGAACAGAGGCTATATAATGAACTGGTTAAGAAAGTAGAACTGAAATCAGTTTTGCTTTTTTATTTTAAGTCTGTGCTTCCTTGGTTTTTTTCATATTTCAGGTTAGAAAATACAGGGTTTGAAATTAACTTTGTGGTGAATTCTTCAGTTAATTGGTAAAAGTATTCTTCCGACACAGCCTGTCATCAGTGACGTTGAGTGGACTTGTCTAGATCTACGTAGTATAAGATTCTGGCCCTAGTTATAGGCATATGGAGTCTCTATACTTAGATTTTTCCCCCCCGCTTCTCTGGCTTTTAGAGGTGGTCTGAGTTTAAGGCTGCAGTGTAGTGCTCTTAAAGCTTCTTTAGCATGAGAAGCAGTTATACTAACAGGGTAGCAATTGAAGCAGCAACCCCTCGCTATACCCCAGCAATTTTTCCAAGAGACCGTCTTCTACATGGTGAGTGGAAGCTGCCCAAGATACTCATTCTAGCCAGGTTCTTGGGATATACATAGCCAGTGTCCCTACATCAGATAGAGCAATAAGGTACATGAAAAATGACAGCGTTCTTTGCAACCCCAGGACTGGTTTCCACTCTGGACATTGTGTAGAATTGAGAACTAGTTGTTGTTTTCAAGTCATTGAGACGTCTGGTATTCAGCCTTTAGGGCACCTGGAATCAGACAGATTGTGCCGACACTTCACTTTAGTGGGACAGTGATTAAAAGGGAGTGAAAGAGGAGGATGATATAGAATTGATGGAGTGGAGGAAACTTGGGAGAAACGGAGAACCCGTGACATACGCATATTTTTACTCTTGCAGATAAATCCTGTTTCAATGCGTTCTTTAACTTTGAGGACATGCAGGAGATCACCCAGCACTTCGCTGTCTGTCACGTGGATGCCCCGGGCCAACAGGAAAGCGCCCCCCCTTTCCCAACAGGGTAAGACCGGAAACAAGGGCTTCTGGAAGACATGCACTCAGAGGAGCAAGTGACTGGGTTCCAGTGAGGGAAGGAGCATGTGCTCCCGTTCGCGGCGGATTTTAGCACAGCCTGCAGGGTATAGGCACCTGCCAACCATTCTCGTATTTCCTCTCCTTGCTCATTTTTGCGTTCTTCCCTGAAACTCCCAACTACCCAGGCCCAAATTCTGATCCCTGTGAGCTCCTTGGGAGTACCTCCCAATCTGGTGACGGGAATTTGAGTATCTGTGTAACCTTTTGTCCTGAGAAGCAGCCCTGTCAGGTGGAGGTGCATTTTTACTGGCCTTGGACCTTTTGGCCTCATCCTAAACTTGCTTTGCATGGCAGAGCCAGAGTCTCCCTACCTCTTCCCTGCACAGTATGATTATTGAGAAGACCCTGGGAGGAGGAGTAAAAGCGCAAGCTATGGAATGAATGCTAATTCTTCCACTCTTCCTTCCCTCATCCCCAGAGCTGCCTCTGCCAGTGACTGCTGTGAAATAGACCACTGCAGACAAGTAATGACTAACACTTATAGAGTACTTACACAGTATTTCTGACACTACTTAAACTACTTTATTAAGCCATTTAACCCTCACAACCCCAGGGGATAGCCTTACTATTACTCCCATTTTACAAGTGAGGAACTGAGGCTCAGAGATAATAAGTACCTTGGCCAGGGTTGCATAACTGATAAGCAACAGAGCTGGGATTTTAATCCAGGCAGCCTGGCTCCATAATCCATGTTATTGAGTATGTCCAAGCTATTCTGTCTCTCCAACACAAATTGGCCAGTGACCAGTTTATCCAACAGGATTTAGATCCCGTTCCTTTTTTCTGTTTTGTGCACAAATGGCTCAAGAAGACTTCATCGCTTAAAGTGTCTCAAGCAGAGACAGGCTGACTTCCCTATCAGATGTACAGCAGATCCTGCCTCATATATAGGAGGTTGCCTTAAGCTCCCCACCGTCTTTGATTCTGTAATCTCTGTGAGGGCTCCCTACTTTTATTGGATTCCTAGTCTGAATCCATTCCTGGGTTCATTTGACCATCTTAGGATCCAGTGGTTCATATTATGAACCATATTCAAAGGCCAGAAAGTAACGATGTTGTCCTATGCCTGAGTAAAACATAACATTATAAGCAGCAAACCAAGAGCTACTTCCTGAGTTGATTCTTAACTGTTGGAAGTTTACTGAGCCTGACCCAATTGAAGTGATTGTCAGCGATTTGGAAATACCCTGAGAGAGAACCATATTACCTTTTCTTCTCAAATGGCTTCCTCTAGTCTGAGAGATTGCTCTTGAAGATATAGAAACATGGAGGCTCTTGCATTTTCTTCTTAGCATGGCAGTCGTACAGAGTCACACAACATACCACAATCATTTTCAGGCTCCATATCGCCTCCCTTGATCCTTTACTAAAGGGAATGCTTTTGTCTAAGAATGTTGCACTTTTCTAGCTGTTCTTGTAATTGGGAAATGTGGGTGCCTTCTAATTCAGGCGGTATCCTTTTGGATTTCAGGTACCAGTACCCCACAATGGATGAGCTGGCTGAAATGCTGCCTTCTGTTCTTACCCATTTAAGGTAGGTTTATTCTGCAGTTCTTTCACACCGTTTTTATGGACTTTCTACTGAGTGTCTGATCTAGGGTCTGTAATGGTGAGGGGAAAAAAAAAACCAGTTGCTATCCTCATGGAGCTTACATCGTAGTGGGGGAGGTGATTGACGAGTAAACAAATAGTCACAACTCAAGTGCTAGAGAAGAAGTCAGTGGGGATGTCGTGATAGAGAGTAAGGACAGGATCGACACAGACAAGGCTAGTTGCGGAATGCCGCTCTCTAAGAAGGTGTCATCTGGTCTGAGACTTGGAGGATTAAAAGGAGCTACCTAGACAGAGAGCCAGGGCAAGAGGAAGAAGTCCAGACAGAAGGAGTAATGTGTCCAAAGTCCTAGACCAAATGAGCAAGAGGGAGAAAGGCATGGGTGAAATTCAAGAAGTAGACAAGGACCAGATTACATAGGTCTCCCAGATCAGGTAAGAATTTGGGATTCTTTTCAAAAGAGAAAGAAAAAATACTGAAGGCTTTTAAACAGAGGAGTGATATCCAATTTAATCTTTTAAAATGACCACTCTAGATCTGTAAATTGAACATCAATAAAACTGCTTTTTTTTTTAAGATTTTATTGGGGAAGGAGAACAGTCAAGTTGTTGTCCTTCAGTCTTAGTTGTGGAGGGTGCAGCTAGCTCAGCTCCAAGTCCAATTGCCATCCGGCCGCCCATCGGCAGCTAGCGGCCGCTCAGCTCAAGGTGCGGTGTTTAATCTTAGTTGCGAGTGGGCATAGCCCACTATCCCATGCGGGAGTCAAACCCGGCAACCTTGTTGTTAAGAACACATGCTCTCACCAGCTGAGCTATCCTGCCACCTGTTGGCAGCTCAGCTTGGGCGCAGCTCACTGGCCTTTGTGGGAATCGAACCGACTACCCTACTGCTCAGAGCTCGCGTTCTTAACCAACTGAGCCACTCTGCCAGCCCAAAACTGTAATTTTTAAAAAAGGATTACTCTAGCTGTGGCGAGAATGGCTTGGAGAGGAGTAAAAGAGAAAAAGTTGGGAGGCCAAGTAAACTATCAATGGCTGTCAGGCAAGAGGTAATGTTGGTACTGGATTCTGTTGAGGGTTGAAGTGAAGTAGATGGAGACAGATGGAAATTTTGGAAGTAGGCTTTCTGATGTGACATGGAGGTGATATGCAAGTAAGCTTCCAGGATGACTCGCAGGTTTTAGTCATATTTCATTTAACCCTTAAGATCAAGTTCAAAGTAGGTGGTCATATCCTTGTTTTATAGATAGAGAACCGAAGCTCAGAAAGTTAAAGGAACTTGACCAAATTCTATACTTAGTAAGCACCAGAGCTAGGATTTGAACCCAACTGTATTCTTTGCATTATGTCATGCTACCTCCAAATGAGTTAACCCTATCAATGTTTATGTGTTTCGTTCATAGTGTGAAAAGCATCATTGGGATTGGAGTTGGAGCTGGAGCTTACATCCTCAGCAAATTTGCAGTAAGTACTTGGAGGATTAATCTCAACACCCTTGAGGTACTGCCTAGATCACAGCTCTTATTGCTGTGTAAGTGACCAGGTACTATTGTGTGTCTTATGTCAGTTTTTTAATAAATTCTGTCAGCTCCAGATATAGGTTTGTATAAAGCCTTGCTCTATACTCATAGTACTTGAAAAATCACAAATGAGGGCAGTGCATCATCAATAAAAAGTAATCTTAGAGAATACTTAGGATGGAATTTTGTACAACAGTTAAAATTTTGTAGGAAGAGCTTGTAATGATGCGATTCACATACAGAGAGTGCCCAAAAAAATGTATGCACATTTTAAGAAAGGAGAAAACTGTATTAAAATTGTAATACAATGAATGACGCTAGCATTCATTTGATGAATGCCATCTTTTGAGTGACTGTCATTCTACACATAGCTACCGTAATTCAACTTCAAAAAGTAATACATAGATAACATCATTTAAAATTAGTACATTTTTTTGGCACCCCGTATATATTAAAATGTTAATCAAGTTAGAATACAGGTTAACATAGTTGGTCGTAGGTATAGGAAAGGACTACAAGGAAATATACCAAGGTATTAACAGGGATTGATGTTGTGTGGTAAGATAATATGAAATTTTATTTTCTGTTTTATAATGGGTGCCAAAAAAATGTATACACATAACTTGTATTCATCTTTTATTATAAGTATATATGATTACAATTTTAATACAGTTTTTTCCTTTCTTAAAATGTGTATCCATTTTTTTGACACCCTCTGTATAATCTGTTTATCAAATTTTCTGTAATGAGCATAATCAGTGTAATCAGAGGGAGTAAAGTAAGCTAGAGAGTTTTGAGATTACACAGTAACTAACGTTCCTACTGATTTTTACTTAATTAACTTTTTTTCAAATGCCTCCTGGGTGATAAGATAGTCTTCTGGGGGTGGGATCAACGATTCATGTGGTTTCAAAAAAAACTTAAGAAGCCCCTATTGGGAACAAAGGTATATGAGTGTGAAATAGCCAGTCTAAGCCTCAGCAACCCCTTATGTCAAGTAGTTTTAAGGGCACTTTCCCAGCAGGGAAGACCCACCATGAGCTGAATAACTACAGAGATACCAGGTGCCTTCTTTTGCTGTAGAAATAAAACAACATGTCTCCCCCAGAGATCCTTGCAAGGCAAGATCAGTTGACAGCAATTAAGAAACTGTTTTTCCAGATGCTAATTCAGATTTAAACAGCTATTTTTCTGAATATCCTCCCTAACACCTCTCTGAAGTCTTACTTTCAAATCTGAGGCATTAGGGCATGGTAAGAATTAATTAACCATACTCTGGTAGTTTTAGAAGAATGCTGGGAGTAGAACTTTCATACTGTTTTCTTTGTCTCCTATTTCAGCTTAACCATCCAGAGCTTGTGGAAGGCCTTGTGCTCATTAACGTTGACCCTTGTGCTAAAGGATGGATTGACTGGGCAGCTTCCAAAGTAAGCACCAAATGGTGTCCATTGGCTCATCTCTCGGTCCCTTCTTGAAATGGTTTCTCTGCTTTATTTTTATTTTTTCATTGAGGGATGTATAGTTAAGGGCAAGAAGTTTTAAGTATACGGCTTGATGAATGTTTACATTTGTAATCACACACCCAATCAATGCACAGAATATTTCCAGCTCTGCTCTTAATTAATACTTCCTCTCCTTCCCAGAAATAACCGTTATTCTGACTTCTAATATCGAAGATTGGTTTTATTTATTCTTAAACTTCATGTAGTCAGAATAATAGAATATTCTTTTGTATCTAGCTTCTTTGACTCATCATTGTCTCATTCATGTTGTATGTAGCAGATCTTTTTTTTTTTTTTTTAGCTGAGCCATCCTGCCACCTGTTGGCAGCTCAACTGGGGCCGGGAATCGAACCGGCGACCCTGTTGCTCAGGGCTCGCACCCTTGAGCGAGCTCTTAACCAACTGAGCCACTCGGCCGGCCCACAGTAGATCTTTTTAATTGTTGTTTAGTAGTCTGTTGTGTGAATCCACAAAATGAGTTATGTGGTTATTATGAATAAAGCTCCTATGCACATTCTTTGATTTATCTTTCAGTAGACCTACACATTCATTTCATTTGGGTTTATACCTAGGAGTGGAATTGTAGAGTCATAGGTCAATTGTCTGTTTAGCTTTAGTAGATGTTGCCAGCATTCCAAAAGTGTTCGGCCAGTTTACATACCAGCGATATATGAAAGTTCCAATTATTCCACATCCTCACCAACATTTCTCATTTCCTTAAATAACCAAATAACAATTTTTTGGTTGCATAATATTCCATTCTATGGTTGTATGGTTGTGACTGTATTTGTAATACAGTTATAAAACTTCAGAATGATCTTATGAGTATTCAATGTGAAATAAGATTGGTTATTAATTCTAATTATCTTTAATTTATAATTTGTAATTATAATGATCCTGTTGGATCATTGATAACCTAGGTGAAGATTTCTGGTCTTTTTTCCTCCTTAATCTTTCTGGGACTATATGTGATCCTGCTCTAACCATATCCATGTCTGTCTCTCTCACCTCCTCTTCTCCATCTCCACCGCCAATTCAGTACTTCTGTAATCCAAGTCAGCAGTAAGAACTGAGCTGAAAATAAACAAACAAAAAAAGCCTTTAGGGGAATCAACAGCGTCATTTGAGTTGGAAATTTTTCTGAAAATAGACTTAACAGTTTGCTGATTTACACAGATTGCTGCATTTGTTAGACTGTGATATGCATCCTTTCGAAGTGGAAAAACTTAGGAGAAAAATGTTCAAAATGTAAGAACATTCTGTAAACAACAATTTCCTCCCACTCCCTGAAATGAAGACAGCAAAAACCCGAGGAAAGGAAAAAAAAAATTGTTTTTGTCTCTTGGATGGTTTGGGAGTAGTTATAAATTCTTATCCATAAATCCAGTGTAAAACTGAAGTACAGGCAGGAATGAAGTAACTAATAGCTGTGACTTGGTCTCAAATTTTCAAAGAAGTTATGGCCGCATTTCTTCCAGCTGCCTATTTTAAAGCAAGGCTATATTATTACCCTGGAAGTGAGACTTCGCATTTTTTTCTGACTTGTTTGTTTTCATGTCTCTTGAAACCACTATCTCATGAAAATATGTGACACTGAGTTGTGTTTTTGTTTGTTGAAGGATAACATATATACATGTATGTGTATAATCTTAAGTGGACAGCGTGATAAGTTTGTGCATATGCTTACTCCCTTGACACAAAGTTTTTATCTTTTTAGATCTCAGGCTTGACAACCAATATTGTGGACATTATTTTGGCTCATCACTTCGGGCAGGTAAGTGCCTATTCCAAGCAGGAGAGCTGTGTTTTTTGGCTTGCGTGCAAAGAAGGGGTTTGCCTCAGGAAAGAAGGGGCGCTTTAGAGTTCACTTGACCCTAGAGGGTAACACTTCCAATGCAGTGTGAGATGCATGTGGCCCAGAAAGACAAGTCTTAGGAGAGAGGCATTAACCCAATGCCATATAGCTCTTGGCATTTGGAGAGAGATAAGAGAAGCCAGCAGCCACCCCCACACACACCTGTTCCCTTAAGCAGTGTGCCATCTGTTCATGTTTGGCAACATCACGTGCCTCACCAAACATCCTTAGAGCCACAAAGAGGTCCGGGAAGGGCTTCACAGAAATAGAAGTTTCAGAGAAAAAAGAAACCAAGAAATGTTAGTGCTAAAAGAACCTTAGAGATTATCTTGTTTCATCCCCATGTTTTACTGGTGAGGAAACTGAAGTCTACAGAGGAAGTGACAGTTATATGGGTAATTTGGGGTGAGAGAGAAGATCCCAGCCCTCTTTTCAGAGAGAAAAGTGAGTTGGATAATACAATTCTGACACCAGTTACAGTGTGTGTTTTTTTCCATACCACCAAGCAATTCTCGGACACCAGCTGGGTGTCTTACAATTCAGTTCAGTTATAACACTCTCTACCTGGAGATATTGTCAGATCCCACAGGTTAAGTCCTACAAAACTGTGCCACCACCTGTCCTCCCCCACTTCAGATGCGAGTCACAAGCTCAGGCTGTCACCTTTGCTTCTGAGGGACCAACTGTAGATCATAGGTTTCAAAACCCCCCTCCTTGGGTTTGATTAATTTGCTAGAACAGCTCATAGAACTCAGAGAAACATTGTACTTAGTAGATTACAGCTTTATTTTACAAGGATGTAACTCAAGAATAGCCAGATAGAAGAGATGCACAGGGCTAGGTATGTGGGAAGGGGCATGGAGTTTCCGTGCCTTCAGAACACCTCACTGCCCAAGCCTCTACATGTCCACAAACCTGGAAGCTCTCCAGCCCTTGTCCTTTTGGGTTTTTATGGGGGCTTCATCGTTATAGTTGATAAAATCACCGGCCATTGGCGACTGAACTCAATCTCCAGCCCCTCCCCTTGGGGTGGGACTGAAAGTTCTAACTCTCAGAATCATTTGATTGGTTTCCCTGGCAACCAACCCCCATCCAGAAGTTACTTAGGGCCTTTCCAAAAGTCACTCCATTAACATAACAAGACACCTCTTTTGCTCTCTTCAGCTTCCAAAATCCCTAGGGTTTTTTGGAGCTCTGTGCCATGAACAGGATGTAGATCAAATATATATATTTTTTATTAATAAATCCCAATATCACAGATGGACCTATGAAGGAATGAGGGAATAAAGGAGCATTGAGGTTGGAAGAGAGCTGTGCGGTGTCTGAAGAGAAGAGATGGGGGGAAAATAAGTAGGAATAATGCATTCTCAACTGTAGTCTGTGTGTTGGAAGGAAAATGGTAGGTGGGGAGAAAACGAGCATTTACTGAGTATTCATTATGTGTAAAGCACTTTGATAAGTACTTTTAAGGCATAAACTCAGTTGTTTTTCACATGGTTCTGTTAGACTTATTTTAAGATGGAGAAACTGAGGGCCAGAGAGGCAACATAACTTGCTACCATTATCCAGATAACAAGCGGTTTGAATCTAGGTCAAATTAACTCCGAAGTTCATAATCTTTTATTTAGATTACATTTTATCGAAGTTACAAATTCACATATATTTTAAAGTAGAGAAGTTCTACAGGACTGATTACAAAGAACCTGCCACCCACCTCATTTTCTGCTTCTTAGAGGTAACCAACCACTGTAATCCTTTTAGCTATTTTGGGTTTTGCCTCCACATTGCTCTCTCTTTAATTGAGGTATAATTTACATAAAGGGCAAAAATATAACCGGATCTCAGTGACCTTTATATATGTACATATACTCGCAATATAACCACCACCAAATCAAGCTATAGAACATTTCTGTCACCCCAAAAAGGTTCCCTTGTGCGTTTTCCTACTCACTAATCCCCCTCCCCAAACAAGGTATTCTCTATTCTATTACTTGTAAAGGTTAGTTTGCCTGTTATTGAACTTCATATAAATGGAATCACACAGTGCACATACACTCTTGGCTTTTTTTTTTTTAGTATCTTGTCTTTGAGATTCATCCATGTCATTCTATGTATCAGTAGTGCGTTCTTATTACAATGTAGCAGTCCATTGTGTTACTATAGCACAAATGTTCCTGTGAACATTTGAGTTATTTCCAGTTTTGGTTTTGTTTTGTTTTTAATTTGTGGGGTTTTTGGTGTGTGTTTTTGTTTTTTTGTTGTTGGTTTTTGTTTTTTACACTATTATGAATAAAGCTACAAACATTCCCATGTATGTCCTTTTGGACAATTCTCTTTGCCTCCCTCTCTTTAAATATGTATATATTTCTACTTGCTCAGTTTTTAGTTGTAGGCATTCCATTGTGGAGGATGATTTCTCTCTAATGCACACCAAAACTCATGACACATTTGTGTTTTCCACCACTCCACCTTTCCAATGTAACATAATTTGGATTCGGTCGTTTTCTAGCATGTATTACACTATCACCCTATGTAAATGTTACTCAGAGCTGAGCCATGACTGCTTTCTTTTTCTTATTAGAATTTATAAGTAAAGGACACTGGAGGGAGACTGCAGGATGACAGTGGGAGGAAGGCACTTCCTTTCTAGGTTTTGGCTCCCTTTTAAAAGTTTTAGCTCAGAAGGCCTGGTGACACTCACCTCGGCATTCAGGTCAAACTTTCTCCATCCGGTGGGCTGTTTTTATAAGGTCCAGTCAGAAGACTGAAATCACACACTTTGAGCAGAGAAAATTTTAAATAAAATATTGTTAATGAGCAGAAGGTGGTTAACTTCTGAAAGGGGTAAATGAGGATTCTGAAGGGTCCAAAAGTAGCAATTGGAAATATAGCAGCTACTGCTTCTAGGCCAAGGGAGCTGGACACTGAAGAAGGTGACTTAGTTGAGCCTCACCACCGTGCCCGAGAGTCTGGCTTCTTTGAGGAAGGCATGGTTTCCACTGGAAGCAGCGCTGGCCAACAGTGAAGAAACTGGGCAGAGTGTGAGTGAGGGCCATAGCTGGTCTGTGGAACCACTTACCAGGTGGGGGAGACATTTGTCTAAAATAAGGTCTGAGCTGCTACAGCAACTGCAGTTGGGTGGGGAGAGCATGGGCTGAGGGTACAGCTGCAGCTCGTCTATTAAGGGCTCCTGAAACTTCACCATTGGCTCCTGTGCTAAATTTTTATTTTTTTATTTTTTATTTTTTTTATTTTTTTAAGATTTTTTTATTGGGTAATTGGGGGGATGGGAACAGTACTGGGGAATTAGGGGAAGGGGAACAGACAAGTTGCTGTCATTTTGTTCTTCAATCTAGTTGTGGAGGACGCTGCTTCACTGGCCCAAGTTGGCACCATCATTGCGCTCTTCCCTGGCGAGGCAGATCAGTCGCCGGCTTCTGGACGGCCGCTCACTGCGGCTGCTGGCCGCTCACGCTGGCTGCTGGCTACACACGGTAGCCCATGGCAACCCACTGCCACAGGGACTGCAGCCTACGCCGTCGCCGGCGACTCACGGCAGCCCAGCTCCAGGTTGAGCTGTTGTTCAGCATCTTAGCTGTAGAGGGCAGTGTCACTGGCCCTCATATGTGGGATCCGAACCGGGGCCCTCTGGCATCCCAAGCGAGTTCTTAACCATCGCGCCACTCGGCCGGCCCTCCTGTGCTAAATTTTTAAAAAGGACTGACAAAGGGAAAATGTTTTTGCAGTCTAGCTCCTGTATCATAAAGAATGGTAGATCTGAGGCTGAGAAACTAGAAATTGATTATGGCACAGGTGCATCCCCTAAATGGCTATTGATCCCTGGCTGTCCATTTTTGATAAGGGTGGATCACTATAAAGTCCTGTGTGCACCAGGTGAGACTTATCACTGTGGGCGATCAGACTTGGGCATTTCCTTGGGAAACCCCTGATGTCAACACTTTTAGTGATGTCAGCACCTTTAGATCCTTTCTGTGGTACTAGTCAGATTCCCCAGGTAACTTTTGAGATTACACACCAGATAGAAACCCAAATGCAGAAAAAGACTGAGAGCCTCAACAGTCAGGCTTTAAACTTTCATTTAATCGTCTTGTTTTCAGTATGATCTGTCTATTGCTACCTGAGCCTATGGTTTCCCAGAACAAAGACTTTGTATTTTGTCATTTCCAGAGAATAAATCTAAATACAATGAATTTTTGTACATTGATCTTATATCCTTCAACCTTGCTGGACTAAATTATTAGCTCTAGTTGTTTTTGTGGATTCCTTAGGATTTTCTATATATACAAGATACGTCATCTGCAAATAGACATAGTTTTACTTCTTTCTTTCCAGTCTGGATACCTTTTATTTCTTTTCTTGCCTAACCAGAACTTTCTAGGCCCTGGCTGGAACCTCTGGTACAGTGTTGAATAGAATTGATGAGAATGGACATCCTTGTACTGTTTCTGATCTTAGGGGGAGGCATTCAGTCTTTCACCATTCAGTATGATGTTAGCTGTGTATTTTTCAAAGATGCCCTTTATCAAGTAGAGGAAGTTATCTTCTTTTTCTAGTTTGTTGAGTCTTTTTATAATGAAAGTGTGTTGGATTCTGTCAAGTGCTTTTTCTGTATCTATTGAGATGTGTGACTTTCATCCTTCATTTTTTAATATGGTATATTACTTGTTTTTTGTATGTTGAACCAACCTTGCATTCCTGGGATAAACCCACATGCTCATTGTGTATAATATAATCCTTTTTATATGTTGTTACACTGGTTTGCTAGTATGTTGTTAAGGATTTTTTAGTTTGTACTTAGAAGGGATGTTGGTCTCTAATTTTCTTAGGATGCCTTTGTCTGGTTTGGTATTAAGATAATAATTGGCCACAAAGAATATGAGAAGTATTCTATTTTTTGT